ACTTCTGCAATACCTGCCAGCACAAGTCACCATCCGTTAATGATATAAGCTTCATGGAACTTAATGGCACTTAATGGCAATGAACGACAAGAATTAATGCAGTGAGGTAGTTGTTAGAATAATCTATAGCTTAAACATCCATCCATCCATCTCCTACCGCTTTTCCGGGTCGGGTCGCGGGGGCAGCAGTCTCAGCAGGGAAACCCAGACTTCCCTCTCCCCGGCCACTTCATCCAGGTCCTCTGGGGGAATCCCGAGGCGTTCCCAGGCCAGCCGAGAGACATAGTCCCTCAAGCGTCTTCCCCGGGGCCTCCTCCCAGTGGGACATGCCCGGAACACCTCACCAGGGAGGCGTCCAGGAGGCATCTTGACCAGATGCCTGAGCCACCTCATCTGGCTCCTCTTAATGAGGAGGAGCAGCGGCTCTACTCTGAGTCCCTCCCGAATGACCGAGCTCCTCACCCTATCTCTAAGGGAGAGCCCAGCCACCCATTTCGGCCACTTGCACTCGCGATCTCGGTCTTTCGGTCACTACCCACAGCTCGTGACCATAGGTGAGGGTAGGAACGTAGATCGACTGGTAATATAGCTTAAACATTGCTAAAGAAAACAAAGATTTGTGTTTTAAACTGCAGAGTTTAAAACGCACTCTTCTGAAGATGCACTCAAAATTAAATTCAGATCCCGTAGTGTGCCCTAACTTTTCCCATTTGTGAACTATACACAACACTTACAGGCATCCCGGGAGCAAGTCAGTGTAATATATTAGTGTTTACCAAGATGCTGTCGGGGGCAGACAAACATGCAGGTTTAATCAAAGGGGAAAAAAATCAATTCCTCCAACCAGGAAATACGCTGGCCCCGTGAGAAGGTTGGATACACGAGGCCACCGTCAGTAACTGCTGCCGAGCAACAACAAAAATAAATAAGCCAAGTTTCATGTTTAACCTGCCGCCGCAAAACCCAGCCCATTCATCAAGAATCCCTCTGCGCATATCGACTGAACAGCGTTCTATTTCCTAAAAAGTGGCCGCACATTGGTCAGTCATCCAGGTGACGTTTCATAAACGGAAGCGGGTCGTAGGGAGTGACAGGAGTATATTTTACAATATATTCACGGCACAGCACACCCAAATTTGCTTGGATGTTGTGTCCAGAAAGAAAGAGAAGATGAAAAAGAAGTGGCTTGGTACTGTGGACATCTCGCGCCGCTCTCCAGCCTGCAAGATGCCCTGGATAAAAACACTGCCAGTAATGAACATTAATAATGCAGGCGTGCAGCCTGATTAGAGGAATGTCTGTGCTGTATTCACATTGGCGTGTGGTTTTTCCCATTTCCTTTGGCAAGTAACTGGTGGATGTCAGCTTGAGTTCAGCAAAATGCACAATTTTTGTAAATATAAGTGAATAGGTAAAGATCCTATTTTCCAGGTTGAATCAACACAGTAACATAATATTTTTGAGTTCTACTGGAGTGGAGTCATCTAGCCATCCCAAAGCACTGCTGTCTGCCTTTGTAACCCTTGTATCTCCACCTGATAAGTGTTGACCCCACATCTGTTTCCATGGACATTACATAAATTATTGTCTGTATTTATTAATGGATCCACATATCACTGCACTACTGAGGACCTTGAAGACCTTGAATATTATCGCAGATGTACAGCTGTGGTTCATTAGTTTCCAGAATAGCTGAATTCATTCTCCACATACTCATCAGACACCAGTGGTGTCCATTTCACTCCTGTTTATATATAATTATATTATATATGATACAGTAGCTTTTTTCACAGTATAACTGACTGCATCTTTCCCCAGTATAGTTATATATGTATATTTAATATGTTCCACATATTTTTCCACAACTTAACTTGCGGATATGGTAGTGTGAAGTCATTAGTCCTCTCTTCAGTAGATCATTGTTAGCAGAAAAACAATCATAAAATAACATAACCTATTTAATTCTACTTCAAGAAATTTTGTAATTATCAATTAAAATTTCAAAACTATGGAAAAGAATCGGAATGCTTCTTAATGTAACCAGAATGAGCAGCATGACCCTTAGGGCTCTCCTTGACATTGCTGAAGGAATTCATTCTTTTCTCAGAAGAGATGTCACCATACGGCCATTTACAGACATCTTTGATTTTTTAAATTTGTCTGTAACTCTGATCGTCAATTACAAAATTCAGTTCATAGATCTAATGGGAATAGAGGACACTGAAAAAGATGAATACAACCGTAATCAATCCTGCACCTTTGTTCATTTGATAGGTGTTTATGCTTATTTTTTAAGGCACATATATGACACAATATCTACCAATGTTTCAAATTCAAGAACCATATAAATTTATTAAATTCAGTTTGTTTAACTGTTGCTTTTGCACAAAGTGACAAATAATCCTATTAATTTTCATACCGTTTTACATTACCTGCACCTTCACAATGCATTCATACATTAATAATAAATTAATTGTTAAATAATATTAACAAGTATTGTAAAACCATATAATTAATCTATATTAAAGTTGTTAAAGTATGTTGGATGTTATGGTATTCTTATGAATGTTCTATAATTGCTTTTTGAATGCATTATGAAGGTTTGCTGAATGTTCTATGAAGGCATAATGAATGCATTATAAAGATGCAGTAATTTACCGTATTTCACTAAGAATAAACAGCTGTCTAGTGTACGACACCATGCCCTCTCCTCTCCTTCATCCCACAAGCTCACATCCATGTCCTGCTGACCTATCTGAGCTCCTGTTAAATATCAGTACAACCAGGGAATCCTCCCTTCAAAAATCTCCTTCTGACCATTTTGCAGGAGTTCACCGTTTAACCCCATGCTGTCATTCCTCTCTGTCTTGCAGGGCGATTCACACCCATACATCATCCCGCTCCATGTGCGCCCCCATCCAGTCCTTGAGACAGACACATTTTTTCCTAGATTCCCTCAGGCTAACGTAAAGGTTAACAATAGGTTAGTGTCTTTGGAAATGTCACAATGATGAAATGTATATCTTAACTGTTTATTATTCATCCATGTGTCACTCACAAATGCCCACCGCCATTTTATCAAAAACCCGGGAGCGCCATCAATAAACATTATGAAAAATTATACTAAATCATATATAAAGTTACATACAGAAATAAAGAATGTTTGTTTTTCTACATTTCTACAACCACAAAAGAAGTTCTTGTCTATTTAAAAATTCTTTTCCCTGCAATGAAAGAAATACCTCAAAATACTGCGTGACCCCATTGCATTTCACACGGTTGCCATTAATACCACTGCTAGTTTGTTGCTCTGTGAAACCAGCTAATTATGACTTATACACTGATTTGCCATGACAGTAAACCATTGAAAGGTGAAGTGAAT